AACAACTATACAGCGGTGGAGCCCCGGGGGCGGATGAGGTTCGTCCTGGGTATCTCAAGGCTATGGATGTTGTAGGGTTGTCGTGGTTGACACGTCTCTGCAACATTGTGTGGCCATCAAGGGCAGTTCTTGTGGAGTGGCAGACCGGGGTGGTGGTCCCCATCTTTAAGAAGGGTGACCTGAGGGTGTGTTCCAACTATAGGGGGATCACACTCCTCAGCCTCCCTGGAAAGGTCTACTCCAAGGTACTGGAGAGGAGGGTCCGATCGATAGTTGAATCTCAGATTGAGGAGGAGCAATGTGGTTTTCGTCCTGGCCGTGGAACTGTGGACCAGCTCTATACCCTTGCAAGGGTGATGGAGGGGGCATGGGAGTTTGCCCAACCAATCCACGTGTTTTGTGGATTTGGAGAAGGCTTATGACTGTGTCCCCAGGGGCAACCTGTGGGGGACGCTCCAGGAGTATGGGGTGGGTGGCTTTCTGTTAAGGGCCATTCAGTCCCTTTACCAGAGGAGCGTGAGTTTGGTCCGCATAGCCGGTAGTAAGTCGGACCTGTTCCCGGTGCGGGTTGGACTCCGCCAGGGCTGCCCTTTGTCACCGGTTCTGTTCATTACCTTTATGGACAGAATTTATAGGCACAGCCGTGGTGTGGAGTGTGTCGAGTTTGGTGGCAGGAGAATCTCGTCTCTGCTTTTTGCGGGTGATGTGGTCTTCCTAGCTTCATCCAGCTCTGACCTTCAGCTCTTGCTGGGTAGGTTCGCGGCCGAGTGTGAAGCGGCTGGGATGAGGACCAGCACCTCCAAATCTGAGACCATGGTTCTCGACCGGAAAAGGGTGGCTTGCCAACGCCGGGTCGGGGGAGAGGTCCTACCTCAAGTGGAGGAGTTTAAGTACCTTGGGGTCTTGTTCACGACTGAGGGTAGGAGGGATCGGGAGATCGACAGGCGGATTGGTTCAGCATCTGCAGTAATGCGGACGCTGAGCCGATCTGTCGTGATGAAGAGGGAGCTGAGCCAGAAAGCCAGGCTCTCCATTTATCGGTCGATCTACGTCCCAATCCTCACCTATGGTCATGAGCTTTGTGTAATGACCGAAAGAACGAGATCGCGGATACAAGCGACGAAATGAGTTTCCTCCGTAGGGTGGCCGGGCTCAGCCTTAGAGATAGGGTGAGGAGCTTGGACATTCGGGAGGGACTCGGAGTAGAACCGCTGCTCCTCCGGATCGAAAGGAGCCAGTTGAGGTGGTTTGGGCACTTGGTCAGGATGCCTCCTGGACGCCTTCCCGGGGAGGTGTTTTGGGCATGTCCTGCTGGCAGGAGGCCCCCGGTTCGACCCAGGACACATTGGAGAGGTTACATCTCCAATCTGGTCCGGGAACGCCTTGGGGTCCTGCCGGAGGGGCTGGTGGAGGTGGCCGGGGAGAGGACGGTCTGGAGCTCCCTAGTTGGGATGCTGCCCCCACGACCCGGATCCGGATAAGCGGAGGAAGACGACAACGACATTTACAAAATGAAATCTATCAGACAGGTAGGATTTAAAACAGCCTAGTGCTGTTCCTTTGATCCCTACAACATGTTCAAGTCTTTCTAAAAGAACATTGTGATCTTCTGTGTTAAAGGCAGCACTGTGATCGAACAAGACTAGAACAGACACAAGATTCTTATCTGAGGCCATGACAATGATGGACAACATCATTTGCAACTCTCACTAATGCAGTTTCAGTGCTGTGATACTCTCTAAAACCAGATTGAAATTCCTCAAACAGAGCATTAGTGTTTAAATGCTTACATACTTGGATGGCCACTATTTTCTCCAGGGTTTTGGACAAAAATGGAAGGTTAGATATAGGTCTATAATTCATTGGGTCATCTGGATCCAGAGAAGGTTTCTTAAGTAAAGGTTTGATTACAGCAACCTTAAAATCCTGTGGTACATATCCATCTACTAAGGATGGATTGATTATATCTAGAACTGGGGCAGTAACCAAAGGAAATGCTTCTTTAAATAATTTGGTTGGGATTGGATCCAAAATGCAAGTTGAAGGTTTAGATGAAGCTAATATTTTTGATAACTCTGAAAGCTCAACTGGATCAAAACGGTTCAAACACAGATGAGGTTCTACAGTCACCTCTGATGCTGCCTCACTTACTGAGGAAGAAGAAATCGCATTAGGGAGAATGTTAAAGATTTTGTTTCCAATAGAATTAATTTTACTAGTGAAAAATCCCATAAAGTCGTTGCTGCTGAGGGCTAAGGGAATAGATGGTTCAGAGCTATGTTTGGCAACTGTACTGAAAAGAAATTTAGGATTATTCTAATTCTCCTCAATTAATGCTGAGAAATAAGCAGTTCAACTTTGTCAAAGCTTATTTTTCATAAAGCACATGACTATTTTTCCAGGATAAGTAGGACTCCTGGTGTGTAGGGCGCCATGTTCGCTCCAATTTTCTAGAGTTTTGTTTTGAAGTTCATAAATGAGAATTAAACCAGGAAGCCAACTTCCTGTCCCTAATTACCTTCTTTTTTAAAGGGGCAGCATCATCTAATGCCACACGTAAAGAGGAAGTAACATTATGAACTAAGGCATCAATTTGTGAAGGGCTAGAAATTAAAATATTGCCCTCTGAGATGCTGAGGACAGTAAAGATGGAACAGTTGATTTAAAAGATGCAACTGCGTTGTCAGATAGAGACCGACTATAGTGAAATTTACTTTCATGTCTCGAGAACTCAGTTATAAAAAACTCAAAGGTTATCAGAAAGTGGTCCGAGAGGACTGGATTATGTGGAAAGATTGTTATTTCCTCACACTCTATGCCATAAGTCAGCACAAGGTCCAATGTATGATGGCAGCAGTGGGTGGAGCTATGTATTCTTTGAGTAAAACCAATTGAGTCTAAGATATTACTAAAGGCTACATTGAGGCTATCATTTTCAATGTCCACATGAATATTAAAATCCCCCACTACAATGACCTTATCAGTATTTAGCACCAAATCAGATAAAAAATCAGAGATCTGATCCAAAAACTCAGAGTAAGGGCCTGGTGGATGATATAAAACTACAAACAAGAGTGGTTTTACAGTTTTGCAATCTGGATTAGGAAAACTAAGAATAAGATGTTCGGACGAACTGTAACTATTAATCTGTAAGGGACTGATTAATAAGTCCGAATGAAAAATGGTTGCTACTCCTCCTCCTCGCCCTGTACTTCGAGCAATATGATGATTTAAATAATTCGAAGGAGTCGACTCGTTTAAACTAACATAGTCCTCTTGCTGCAGCCAGGATTCTATGAGCGAGAGAGCAAAGAAATGTGATTATCACAAATCAAGTCATTAACTAACAAAGTCTTAGAAAAAATAGATCTAATGTTCAATAACCCACATTTAATTTTTCTAGTTTACAGCTCAGTTGAATTTGTTCTAATATTTATGAGATTTCCATGATTTGCTTTATTATGCCTGATATTTAATCTGTGTGATTTTGGCTGTGGGCAGGACACTGTCTCTATGGTAGCCCACATTGTTTTATGGTAGCCCACATTGTTTTCAGGACACCACCTAGACAACCAGCGGCTAAACATGTCGTCACTGGTCCAATCAGGCAGGGGGCCAGAAAAAATTACAGAGTCCGACAATGTTTTGGCAAACTTACACACCGAAGCAATGACCTCCGATTGGCGTAACCGGGTGTCGTTACCGCCAGCGTGAATAACAATCTTACTGTATTTACGCTTATCCTTAGCCAGCAGTTTCAGATAAGATTTAATGTCGCCCGCTCTGGCCCCAGGTAAACATTTAACTATGGTTGCTGGAGTCTCTAATGCCACGTTTCTGACTATGGAGCTGCCAATGATCAGAGTCGGCTTGTCATGGGTGCGTCACTGAGCGGGGAAAATCTATTAGAAACGTCGTGGACGGGTTGGTGGTGGCCCACGGGCTGGGTTCTATGCTTCCTGCGTACCATCACCCAGCCGGCCTGAGGTCCCAGCTGCTCGGGTTCTGCTGGAGGATCGCTACGGGGTGGTTCTAATCTAGTTAGACCTGTGCTAGCTAAATAGCCACGACTATCTACGGGCTTTTCAACAGCGCGGAGCCGGGCCTCCGATTCCGACACCCTCGCCTCCAAAGCTACAAAAATGCTACATTTATTACACGTACCATTATCACTAAAGGAGGCAGAGGAGTAACTAAACATCCGACACAGAGAGCAAGAGATAGATGGAGAAGCAGAGACAGAAGTAGCCATAGCCGTGCTGAGGCTAAGCTAACTGGACAAGCAAACTGTTCAGTACCAAATAAACTGCGTGCAAACTCAAATGGTTCCCTAAAAGCTAGGTGGAACAGAAAATGTGTGTTTCAGCACGCTTATGTGCTACAATTACTCAGACATGTCCCAGTACAGAGAAATTAAATCAATTTTAGCGAGCCACAAACACCAAACAGCTACAGATCACTAGCAACTTCCTGTCTAGCTTGACCTGATGACACGGCCATATTCCAAGATGACAATGCCAGGATTCGTCGAGCTCAAATAGTGAAAGTGTGGTTCAGGGAGCATGAGGCATCATTTTTACGCATGGATTGGCCACCACAGAGTCCAGACCTTAACCCCATTGAGATTCTTTAGGATGTGCTGGAGAAGGCTTTGTGCACTGGTCAGAATCTACCGTTATCAATGCAAGATCTTGGTGAAGCATCAATGCAACACTGGATGGAAACAAACCTTGAGACGTTGCAGAAGCTTACCAAAACAATATCACAGTGAATGTGTACTGTAATCAAACCTAAAAGTGGTCCAACGAAATATTGGTTTGTGTTTTTTTTTTTTTTTTGTCTGGGCAGTATGTGCAAGTTACATTGTAAGAAGAACATTTCTAGGTAAAAGGTAATACTGTATAGTTTTGTGTAGTCATACATACAACTGAGTCAGTTCTATGAAAAGAGAAACAAAGAAAACTAACTATTAAAACATGCATGAAGACAAATAAACAAAGTTTTAGTAGGTAAACAAAAGTAACTTTATTCCACAACAAATCAAATGTTAATTCAGTAGTTGCACCCAACATCACTTCTCTCTAATCCAGTTGTTTTAGATTAAAAAGTCGTTTGAAACCCTCTTGACATACTTCCTGCTGATTGTCTCCCCGTGTTCACATCATAGACACAACTAAAAGAATTTTAGTCTAAAAGCTACTTTTGTAAATATTAAAACTTGTTTTCCGTTAAGAAACGAGTCTAAAGAACATCAGTTTCACTTTAACAAATCTAAACAGGGAAAATGTCCTTGTGCAAAAGTCAACACTATTCTCAAACCTCACAGAATATTTATTGCACCTTCTGATGTGAAGGTTAACCCATGAGATGTAGACATGCTTATCAAAACCAGACAATCATGTTTTCAGATCAATATTTGTGCAATTTCACATGAATCCCCCCACCCCACCCCCCACCCCAACTCATCCTCGACTAGTCTCTAGCTCGGACACAGAAACTGATCACACGCCGAAGGGTGCTGAAGTGGTTTTAATCACAAGGAGGCTTCTAAGAGCAGCGGGGCGCTCTACCAAATATCTACAAAAGTGGTGACAGACGCCGCCGCTCCCGTTTGTCTTGTCATCCATAAAAACTCAATGGCGGCAGACGATTTAATGCTTACTTCAACTTTAACACTAAACAACAAAGTATACAGTAGCTGCTCTATAACAGAGGTGACGGTAGGCTGACACAAAAGCCTTCTTAGTCTGACGATAATATTTAATAAAATCACTTAACAGATCTGGTTTGTATGTGGTGGACTGCTGTAATACAATAACATCAATAAGATCGGTCTGCAGGAAGCTATGGCAACAAAACAGCATTCAATGTAACAAATGAAACCTAGTGTGCTTTAGTTCAACACTACAAGACTAGTCTGTAAATACTTGTGCAAGAGAACTACTGCCTTTATAGGCTGAGGGAATAAAGAAGCAAAAGGTTTCAAGACTCAAATTTAAGTTCACTAAACACGAGCTAAAACGCAAGGGAGGCAAAATTTAGATTTTTGTACAAAAGTAACTTTGTGCTTAAAGTCGCTGCCCGCATCATTCACCCTCGTCCACTGACTTCCTCCATCTCCATCAGTCCGCCCCATGAGGATTCTCTCAGACCTACATTCGTGCTTTCCCATCAGGCCTTGCAGATGCGGGTCTCTGTCACAAACTTGTTCTCAAAGTGATGGATGGTGAAGCAGTCATCAGCAGAGCGCTTCTGGATGTTTCCGCCTGACAATCACAAAAACAAACAGTTGTTTATACTGACTTCTTGCTTTAGGCTTGAAACGTTCCATCTTCAGCCCTTTTTTTAAGACACGTCATGCTGGCAAATCGGTGTAATGCTGATTATGCATGAACGCGCCGTAGCGCGTGGCGATGCGGGACTTTTCCAGCATTCATGCCGCAATGCCGGACTTGTGAATGCAGACTATGCCTTGGCGCAACAGAGGGAGGTGCCATGATCACGTGTGGAAGTTACTGGTGAGCTCCAGTCAGCAACTATATAGAAAATGAAAGTAAACACGGGCCGTAAGTTTAACTTTTGTAAACAAAACCAGCTTAGATGATAAACCGGAGCGATGCAGAGCTCCAGGAGCTTCTCTTCATTAGAGCTGGAGCTCAGACCACCAGAGACTGCACAGGGACTGTGGAGGACAGACTCCTTTAGCAGCAGCTTGTTAAAAGTTCTTAATAGGTGTGGCTTCAATCGCAATGAAAATCAAGTTATGTCCAAATGAAACAGAAGTCTGTGACAGCACAGAGACCGCCCCCATACCCCCTTTCTACCACCACAGCATAACCTTTTGTAAAAAGGACACGATTGTGCCACATTACTGCCACAATCTGACCACGTATAGACGACCAAAGGCTCCCTCATGCTGGCTTGGAATTGTTTTCTAAAATAAATGATAAATACATTTTACTTATAATGCACTTTACATTTACAAAAGAAATCCCAAAGTGCTACGTAAGAGATGAAAGGAAGACGAGTCAAACAATCCCTAAGGGTAGATTAAAACACATCCATTACAGCATAAAACAAGGTCATAAAAAGGCCTTGCTAAAGAAAAATGTCTTTAGTCGTTTTTTGAAAACCTCCACAGATTGTGGAGCCCTTTGAGACTCAGGGAGAGAATTCCAAAGTCGAGGGGCCACTGGCGTGAAGGACCTGTCTCCCATGGTGGAGAGTTTTGTCCGTGGTTGTGAAGACAGAGGCAGTAGAGCGGAGTTTTCTTGTAGGAGTGTGTGGAGAAAGAAGTTTGCTCAGATAGGCAGGGGCAGTTCCATGAACACACTGGTAGGTAAGACGGCAAATTTTGTACTGAATAGGCAGCCAATGGAGGGATCTCAGAACGGGAGTGATATGATCATATTTACGTTTCCTCGTCAGGACCCGGGCAGCAGAGTTCTGAATGTACTGGAGCTTTTGTAGACTCTTGCCAGGCATCCCAACAAGGAGGACATTGCAATAGAGCGTATAGATTAACATCTCTGCATCTGTCCGAGTAAGAGAAGGATGAAGAATGGAAATGTTTTTGAGGTGAAGAAAGGAGACCTTGCGGAGGTGACGGATGTGGGTGTCTAATGTGAGATTAGAATCTAGTCTGATTCTAAGGTTTGTTATAGAAGAAGAAAGGGGAGTGTCATGACCAAAAAGGAGGATACTGCTAGGGAGAAAAGACTGATATGGAAAAAGGAGGCTCATCTGAAATAAACAGATTTTAAAATTCCATCTTAATGTGTCTCCTCTTTCAGCTGCTGGCCATAATTGTCAAACAGTTTTCAACAACACAATGAGGCAGGGTTTCCCCCAGAAAGGGAGTTTAGCCTGGCGGCTTCGGCCGTCGGGGATGGGGGGGGTCGCGAGCTCCTTCCCGCAGCGCTCCTCCATGAGAGCGGCGGGGGGGTTGCTTGCGTTCCGCTGCTGTTTCTCATCAGTATCAGCTGATGGACGGCTCGAGTTTTGTTGTGCTGTTCGTGTCAGTGGACACGGTAGGGTCATGGAGGGGGCGGGGCATGACGCTTAGCCTGGCGGGTGGCCAAGCAAAACCTGGCAGGCCGCCAGGCTTATAAAGCGCTGGGGGAAACCCTGTGAGGTCATTTATGATGCTAATGTATAACCTTTGACGCTTCATCAGCATAACAAACTAATGGCTAAATTGGCATACTAGCTAAAACCATGAGGAAACAATGTTTCAAATCTGAGTTTTGATTTTTTTAATATATATTTTGTTTTTCACAGCAAAAACTCTCCTGTTGAACCCCCATCATGGTGGACGGGTCTCATCCAGGAGCCAGGCACAGAGTTGGGGCCCCTGTGCATGGTGGCCAGGACTTTGACCTTGTCTGTAGGGGAACCCTATTGGGGGCACCCATGGGAGTATGGGCTGGAATGAGGCCGTGGATTTGGTCCACGTTGCCTGCAGTAAGTCTACCCGATCAGGGTTGGATCCTGCTAGGGCTGCCATTTGTGGTTTTGTTCATAACCTTTATGAACAGAATTTGTAAAGCAGGTAAGGTGCAGGGTGTTAAGTATGGCAAGAGTTTATCACCATCAAACCATTTCTGGCCAAAGGCACTCGTAAACCTCCATTAGCTTTGGTTAGCTCTGTTAGCTTGTTGCTACATCGGCTCAGTTTGATGGTTGTCAATCATCTGCCCACATCTTCACAGCCCTGCTCTCAGCTCCACCTCTTTGCCCATTTTAGTATTGTCCGGGAGTGACGAGACTTGTGACGGGGGCAAGATGGCGGTGGTGGAAACAGCCCACTGGGCTTAATTTAAGCTCTTAAGAAGTCATGCTGACGTGGTTCAGACATTGGATAAGGATGTTTCCTAGATGCCTCCCATGGGAAGTGTTTCAGGCATGTCCTGGTGGTGGGAAACTCCCGAGTCGACCCAGGACATGCTGGAGACACAGTATCTTCAGGCTGTCCTGGGAAAGTCTTGGGGTCTCAACAGCGGCGGTAGTGGAGTCTGTTGGAAAGAAAATGGTTTGGGCCTGCTAACGATGTGACCCAGACTTGGATAAGAGGATGAAAACAAATGGGACATAAAACGGAAAGGATTAGGAAGTTAGCTTCATCTAAAAAGTGAATTAAACAGGCCCATAACCTCTGGTGTGATTAGGCCTGCAACAAATGATTATTTGGATCATCGATGAATCGGATGGGGTCTCGGCTCGAGATGAATCCTTTAATCGGATAAAACGGGAACATTTAAAAATTGCTAGGGAAACATTTTTTCTTTCCTTCCTTTACTTTGACAACAGAACATGACTGTGGTCTAATTCCATGCTATCGTTCTTTTTTGAAGCACAGAAACAGTTTCTGTGTTTTAAAAAAGAACGATAGCATGGAATTAGAAACAAGACACAGCAAGAACACACCTAAGATGACTGTGGTCTGTTTGTTAACAGAGTTCTTAAATGTTAAAATAAAGTTAATAAAACACAATAAAATTCCTGGATCTGCTTCTTCGCTTTCTTTATTGAAGTTTCTGATTGATGCTCTGTAGCAGCAGATTCTCAAAATCAAATTATTTGGATTCGAGAGCAAAAAAAAAACCTGAACAGAGAAAAATAAAAATACATTTTTCATTTTTCCAAATTAAACGTTGCAAGGGAAACATTTTTTCCCTCCCTCCTTTACTTTAACAACAGAACATGATCAGAAAACTGTTCAATAGTGCACAAAACAACATGCTATTACCTAAATATATCCATAATTAAACTATGACCAGTAAAAGTTTCTTCCGCTTGTAGACTTTAGATTATCGTGTTTTTTCTGAACCCACTTGATCGTGTGCCTGCTACCAGCTAGCATTAGGTAATCTGCTAGTAGTTACAAACTTTGGACTGTTCTATTTCGTCTAGTCTTAGCCCTTAAGCTAGCTGCTATTGGAAGGATGATCTCCGCATCAGCCAATCATGAAGAGCTTAAATGTATGCCCACCAATAGTGGGCCCCCTCGTGGTATATAACCGCAGTGACCCCACTGCTCACCTCCTTTTTCTCTTCATGCCAAGCTTGAGAGCTTTATTAAAGAGCAAATATTATCCCAAAAGAGCAAAATTATCCGAAGACGACTTACCAGCCATGTCCAGCGACGCCAGACCCTGCCCGACCTGCCAGACGGGCTCCATTTCCAGCGGCGACCTGCACGCTAAGTGTGAGGTCTGTCTCGGGGCTCACCACGCTGGCCTGGCCTTGACCCCGCAGGCCTCGTGCCCGTTCTGTGCCGCTCTGCCCGTGGCGGAGAAGATTCGCCGGGTCGAGTTCTTCACTCCCGCCGCCGACGAAGAATTTCCGGTGGCTGACTCCTACCCGCTGGACAAGGCTTTGGTTTTCTTCGACGCCGGTCAGGAGCCGGCTGGCTTCAACCGGCTGGATGACGTCACCGACAGCGAAAACTACGATGAGACGGCATCCCTCCTAGACATAACGAAGGTCGACGAGCTTCGCTCAGCGGGTCCTTCTGCCCCAGTGGCTTCTCGCTCCTCCCTGCCAGCAGTAAGAGCACTGCTCCAGGAGCTGCCCGCCATCATTTCTGCGGCAGCAGCCCGCAAGGGCCTAGCTGTGCCAGAACCGGCCCTGACTGAAGCGGATGATTTGGCGGGAATTTTCGGGGCAACTCAGACACGCTGTCCAGACCCTGTCTGGTCGCGCTTCCCCGCTGCTATGAGCTGCTGGTCTGCCGCCTTCTCCGAGCCTGCCAAGCTCAAGGCGCCAGTCTCCACGTATGCGCCCATCACCAAGGTCGAGAGGGTTTTCCGACCAAGGCTGGCCGTCCGTTCCTCCACTAGAGCCGGATTTGGCCTTGCTGTTCGGCGCCAAGAACCACCTCGCTGGCCAGCGAGCTGTTCCCGCTTCAAAACATGACCAGCTGCTGACGCGGCTCACCGACCGCGCACATCAGTGTGCCTTTCAGACCAGCGCTGAAGGGAATAACATCGCCCTTCTTGCCTTCGGCGTCTCCAAGATGATGGAGGAGCTGGAAGCTCCCGAGGAGTCGAAAGCCGTCATAACTAAGACACTGCTGATGCTATCCTCAATCTGTGTGCTGCTGTGCTCACCGGTTCTGCTCGCATCGCTGCCTGGCAGACCCTCATCCAGCGAGCGATCTGGCTGAAGGCCCTGCCCTCCATTCCGGAACATCTGCAAAGGGAGATGCTGGATGGCCCCATCACCACCGATGTTCTGTTTGGTCCCCATCTTAGGGGCGTCATTG